CCGCCCAAAATCCCAGGTATTTTATTTCTTTGCTTTATTTATTTATTTATTTATTTGCCATTTCGCCTTCGGTTTTTTTACAAATCAGGCAGCGAACTTTTCCAACGCTTCTTCCTCCTCCTTCCCCCCTCCCCAAAAACAACCCTGTAAGGTGGGTTGGACTGAGAGTGACTAGCCCAAAGTCACCCAGCCAACTTTCATGCCTAAGGTGGGACTAGAACTCACTGTCTCCTGGTGATTGGCATAAAGTCACCCGGCTAATTTCCATGCCTAAGGTGGGACTAGAACTCACTGTCTCCTGGTGATTGGCGTAAAGTCACCCGGCTAGTTTCCATGCCTAAGGCGGGACTAGAACTCACTGTCTCCTGGTGATTTGCCCAAAGTCACTCAGCGGGCTTTCATGCTAAGGCGGGACTAGAACTCCCAGTCTCCTGGTGATTGGCTTAAAGTCACCCAGTGGGCTTCTATGCCTAAGACAGGACTAGAACTCCCAGTCTTCTGGTGATTGACCCAAAGTCATCCAGCCATAGAATAAGACATCTTACTCTGTTAACCAAGTTCTGTAACATCCTTATCTTAGTTTCTCCCATTGGATTTTTATCCTGTTTGGATTGACTTTGTTGACGGGGTGACAAACGTTTATTGGTTTGTCAAAATAGAAAAATGCAGAAAGACAAAGGAGAATGAGAATAATCGGAACATAGGGGACGTCAAGAGGGAGAGGAAAATGTAGGATGAGAAGGGAAAGGAAAAGAAATATACTGACTTCCGACTTTCTTTGGCTCAGTAGAATAAGCTAATAAGACACACCTCAACTTTGTACTTGTACATAATAACATGTACTAGCCCTTTCGATACCAACGAACTCATACAATCCTCGAAACCCGAAATCAAGGTTTCATGGGTTTTTTTTTCCACCTCGAGCACAAAGTCCAGAAACGGTTTCCAAGTAGAAGCAAAATGAATTGTATCCTACCATCGTCGCAGTCAATTTAGCCCTGTCTGCTAGCTCCCATCAACTTTTTCAGCCGTTCACCCATTGTGGAAATCTTAAATCTCCTTCCATTTTAATGGATGGGCTTCGTTCATACCCAGCTGCGAGGACTTTTTTTTTTTAAAAAAGGACCACGTTTCGGTCCTCGTCCAGGGACCCTTCCACCCACTCCACCCTTCAACCTCTTGCCTTCTTCTTTCTCTTTTTCCCACCCTCTTCCCAGGCGGCGCCACGCTCATCTTTGAAGTTGAACTGCTGAAGATTGAGCGTCGCCAGGAACTATAGCTGCCAGGAAGAGGGGTTCGTGGGGGAGGGGTGCGCACGGACGGACAGGCCGGAGAAGGAACTGGAAACGGGTTTGTCGCTCCTAGAGGGGCCAAATAAATTTAAAAAAAAAAAAAGCACAGACCAGATTTTGTGCCATGAAAGCGAAGCCCGGGGGAGGAAGACTTCGTCTGGCGGACCAACCAAGGACGGGAATGGGGAGACCTTGAAAGCTGGTCAAAGGCCCAGCTTGGGATAAACTGTCCCGGAGGCAGCATTGCCTTGTGTTCACAAGGTTGCCAGCATCCTGGGGCTTTTAACCACAAGGAGGAGGGGTAAAGTGGGGGCAGTAGGAGGAGGGAGGGGGCAGAGAGGCCTGAATGGCTTTGAGTCAAGGTTCTGAATTGAGCAGGAATGGCTGCCTGTTCTAACAGTCAGGACAACCGGTATTTTGCAACCTTAGCAAATTTGAGGTGGGTGGGCTTCAACTCCCAGAATCCCCCCAACCAGCATGCGCTAAAATGGGTGGGCTTCACCTCCCAGAATTCCCTAGCCGTCATGTTTTAATACCGCTGGAGCTCAACTCCCAGAATCCTCCAGCCGGCATGATTTTAACACTGGTGGACTTCATCTCCCAGAATCCCCCAGCCAAGATGGGTGGATTTCGATTCCCAGAATTCTGGCTGGGGAATTCTGGGAGTCGGAAGTCCACCCTTCTTGAAGTTGGCTGAAGTTGAAAAAGCCTGGTCAAGACTCGTTCTGGCCCTCTAGTTGGCTGTGAATAAAACTTACACATACAATACACTCACAATCACACCATAAACCCATAGTGTGGTAGCTGCGGAATTCTGGGAGTTGAAGTCCTTCCATTTTCAAGCTGCCAAGACTGAGAAACAATGCTTTAGACCCGGGGTCAGCAACTTTAAACACTCAAAGAGCCACAAAGGTCCTAAGAGCCGACCGGAAGTCCAGTTCTTCCACCATAGAGTCTCCTCCTCGCGCGGCGTCCTTTTTCCTCTACCTCTCCTAACCGAAAGCCCTATCCATTGTGGAGCCGACCGGAAGTCCGGTTCCCCTACCATAGAGTCTCCTCCTAGCAGGGCGTCCTTTTTCCTCTACCTGTCCTAACTGAAAGCCCTATCCATTGTGGAGCCGACAGGCGACAAAGGGCCGCAGCAGGGGGATGAAAGAGCCACACGTGGCTCCAGAGCCGCGGGTTGCCTACCCCTGCTTTAGACCTTACGTATCCTACCTAGATGGAGAAGAGACCTCTTCGAATTCTCTGCTGCCCCAATGGAGTTCTGGGACTCTGTCCAGAGAACACCCCAGCGATCTCCTAACAACAACCTGCTGAGCATCTTCAAAAAGAAACGAAAAGCAAAAAAGACCATTTCTCCCGTCCCGACTTCTTAGAGGAGGGAAAAAATATATAAAAAAACTAGGTTTGTTTAAGGACAGCAGGGACTCCGCAAATAAAAGGAACAGAAGTTTCCTGCCGCAAGGAACTGGTGAGAAAGCGAGATAACAAGATGAGTTTGCGCTGTTGAGCAACGAGCGGGCGGGCCTGGCTGAAGTGTGAGTGCGAAAAGGCTGGGGTTGGTTTTTTTGCCAGCATTGTGTAGCTGTGCAGCAAACAGCGCCGTCCCAGACCTTCGTGGTTAACAAGCCCGTATGTTTTTGCGTTTGGGAGGGCGGTGGGTCCTTCCAGAAGGTTCTGTACGAGTTGGACTTGCGCCATGGCGGTTTTCTCCACCCTACGATGTAAATGGGAACGGTTCGCATCGTGGCTTACACTTACGCCTTTTTAAAAAAAATAAAAATAAAAACATGCGGGGAAAAATGATATATGGGCCCGATTGTGGCTTAAGCCAGAGGTCTCCAAACTTAGCCAACTTTAAGACTTGTGGACTTCAGCTCCTTGAATTCTCCAGCCAGAATTGGAAGTCCACAAGTCTTAAATATGCCAAGTTTGGAGACCTGGTCTTGAAAAGCTTTTTGCAATTTCCACAGGATTTGATTTGCATTAAAAAAAAAAAATCCTGGCTTTGAACTTTGCAGTTTTTCTAAGCTAACTTACTATCGTAGGGATGGGGAAAATGCAAAAAAAACAAAACCAACCCATGTCAAAGTGGTGGATATATGTGTATGGTGTGCATATATGTGTACAGTACATACCGCAGGAAATAACTTTACAGCGCCTTGAAGCAGTTAGGCCTCTGTTTCCCCACCTTAGCGATTTTAAAATGCACGGACTTCCAATTCCCAGAATTCTCTCATCAATGGCTGGGGGATTCTGGGAGTTGAAGTTCACCCAGTTGGGAGTTGGTGAATTACACAATGGCCGAATTTTGGGAGTTGAAGTCCATAAGTCTTAAGCCAATGGTTTTGTGTGTGTGTGAGGGAGAGAGAGAGAGAGGGATGGAGAGAAAGAGAGGGAGGGAGAGAGAGAGATCCTAGTTGCTCTCCTCTGCACTTTTTCCAGAGTCCCAATATCTTCTCTCTAATGTGATGACCCAACCTGGATGCAATATTCCAGGGGTGGCCTTTCCCCCCGAAATCGTCTTGCTTCCTCCCAAGCCCGTTCTAGGCCTGGCCTTCTTGAGAGGTGCCAGACTTTGCATAAAGGAACCTCCAAGCCACGTGGACAAGCAGAGGAGAGGGAGGAACGGAGGGAGAGAGAGATATTAAGCTTTTGCTCAGCGGTGACTTAAGGCCGGAAACCCGAGGATGCTGGGATTAGCTCCAGGCCTTGCAAAGCATTCCTTCCTTGATGAGTTACCACCGACCGGGTGGGGGAGGCTGCTCTAACTACAGCTCCATTGGGACAATTGAGGCAAAGGCGTTGCTCTCGCTAGGGGCCTGGCCGCTGCCTTCTGTCTCTGTTTTTTCGCCTCTAATTAGAAGCGGCTTGAAGCCACTTATTTTTTTTTTAGCAGGGGGAGATGAGGGGGCTAACCAGAGTTCCTCTTCTCCTCCCCCCCACACCCCGCACCTCCCTAGCTGAGATTTTTAAGGAGAGATCGGACAGTCATTTTTGTCCTGAATGGTGCCAGGGTCTCCTGCTTAGGCAGCGGGTTGGACTAGACGACCTCCAAAGGCCCCTTCCAAGTCTTAATTCTGCAAGGCAAAACAGCCAGCCGGGCTTGATTTCCCCAGCCAGAATAGCTTAAAGAGGAGAGAGACGTGTGGCCAAACCAACGAATCCTGGAATAGCTAGCTAGCTATCCATCCTGGGGTTCTTCCCCCCCCCCCACCCAACAATTTCCAGCGAGCAAAAATATATTTTGCTGCAGGAAAGCTGCACCGTCCCGAACTTCTATGTGTTTCTACGGCAGGATTCTGCCAGATATGTCCTTAACCAAACACCCACCGGCCTTTTGAGTCTCCTCATCGTGTCTGGGAAAGACAGGCCACAAGCGACAATTGTGCAAAACCAGCGTTGTCTAACCGTAGTAACTTTTTATTTTTAAGACTTGTGGACTTCTACCTTGAAATGGGTCACTAAACAAGAGGATTAAAAATGCTTTTTTTTTTTTAATTAAAGAAATTTAACATATTTCGGTGAAGTTGAGGGAGACCTCAGTGTAATTCACCCCCCCCACCCAAAAAACTTTCTCATCCACACCCTTCTCCCTCTGCCCCCATTGCAAAAACCAGGCTGCCTTCTTCTCAAAGCGTCTTTATTAAATTTATATAAAAACACAATAATTAAAAACAAAAACAAAATGGTCCTTCCCCCCCCCACAAATCCAGATACTTTCCCCTCCCTGCCCAGTCCGAATCTCATTTTAAGATCCTACTCTCTTTCTTCCCTCCCTCCTCTTTGAGAACAAATGCCCACCCACCCACCCTTTGCACACACAAACACACTGGCACGGAGCCAGGACAGATTTTTTTGGGGGGGGGGCGGGGAACAGGGACGGGGGGAGGCAGCTGCAGAGAGATATTGCTAAAAGGCGATCAAATTATTCTGATTATCAGAGCATCCCCCCCCCCCAAATCTTCCTCTTTTTGTGATGGTTCGGGAGGGGAGGGGAAACCAACCGATTCCTTCCCCCCTCCTCAGCCCTGTGAAAGCGCCCCCCCCTTCCCTGAAACCCAGCACTGCCCACATTTCAGCGACACACGGGCCCCGAATGGCTGGGGCCACGCAGCACGGCCGCCCACAACTCCGGAGGTCACTTCTTCTGCGGGGTGCTTAGTTTCTGCATCCCTCGGATCTTGTCTAGCAAGTCGGCCACGAAAACCTGGGAGGTAAGAAAGGAGGTGGGGAAAAAAGGCTCAGAGTAAAAGTTTACTCCCCTGCGTAGTAGTGTCCGTAGCAAGGATTCTCAACCTTTGGCAACTTTTAAGAGCGGTGGACCTACAACTCCCAGAATTGCCCAGCCAGGATGTTTGGACTTCAACTCCCAGAATTGCCCAGCCAGGATGTTTGGACTTCAACTCCCAGAATTGCCCAGCCAGGATGTTTGGACTTCAACTCCCAGAATTCCCCAGCCAGGATGCTTTAAGATGGGTGGACTTTGACTCCCAGAACTAACCAGCTGGCATGATTTAAGATGGCTAGACTCCAGGTCCCAGAATTCCTCATGCTTTAAGATGGGTGGACTTCAACTCCCAGAAATCCTCAGTTAGAATGGCTTACGGTGGATGGACTTCAACTCCCAGAATTCCCTAGGTAGCACGCTTTAAGACAGACTTTTGACTCCCCAAATTCTCTAAACCAGCAGGCTTTTTACAACTCCCAGATTTCCCCAGGCAATATGTTTTAAGATATCTAGACTTCGAATCCCAGAATTCCTCGTGCTTTAATTTGAATGGACTTCAACTCCCAGAACTCCCCAGCCAAGCAGGCTTTAAGATGGGTGGACTTGCATTCCCCTTGCTGGCTGGGGAATTCTGGGAGTTGAAGTCCACCCCTCTTAAAAGTGGCCAAGACTGAGAAACACACCTCCTAGCTTAAAAAGACCTTAAACCAAGCCTTTAGCGCTGCTTGAGCTGGGACTGTAAAGCCAAACCTCTTTGAACAGGCGCAGTCTATCCCCAAATTGTGGGGGGGGGGAACAGCCCACGATACTTAGCTGGGTAGTGTCTAGAGAGAGGGGGGGGGAAAAGGCTGGCCCAGGTAAAGCAACCTTCATTTTGGCACATCTGCTCAGTCTGGAAAACTGCGCCGGAAAACCCACCTCTGGGATCAGCCACTTCTCGCCCGTTGCGGTGCGTGCTGTGTTTGTGTGTGTGTTTGCACCACAGTGAAGCTGTCCCTGCTTTGCCTTACAACCTGTTCCACCCTCCCCCTGCCGTTTCAGGAGGCCAGGCTTGGGAAAAGGCGCCAGAAAAGGAAGTGGGGGTGGGGGGGGGGGGGAGAACCAGTCCTCCTCCCCTAACAGGTGTTGGGGGGGCCGCAAACCCCACAGAGAGGGAGGCAGCAGCTGTTTTGCAGCTGCTGGGAAAGAGAGGAAGGACTAGCACCCTCTCTGGGGAGTTTAAGAGGAGGGACAATGGGGAAGAGAAACTGGCCACTGCCAATAAGCTGGCTGCAGAAAATATATATATATATATATATTTTTTGAAATAAAGACCTACCTCTGTGGGCTTGTAGCAATCGACCAGAAGTTCCTGCAACGGGGTGAAAAAAACAACAACAGAAAAATTTGCTTATTTTTAAAGCTTGTCATCTTAGATCTCCAGCCAAGCCTTAGGGGTGGAGAGCTGTGATTTCTTAAAAACCCTCTTTATTTGAATTACGGTTCTTTTGGCTAAGCCGGCGTATCACAGCTGGGGCTTGCACGCCTTGCTTTTGGGCCGTTTCGGAGGGTCTTGTTACGGCCCTGGGGTTAGTGGCAACAAAACCCACACGCGCACATCCCTTCCGGTAACTTTTGGGCAGAGGCGATGAGACACACGTGTACAACCTTCCAGTAACTTTTGAGTAGAGGCAGCGGGACATGCACACCTTTCAAGGTCTTTTTGTGACTCTTGTGTAGAGACGGCGAGACACACACATGCACACCCTGTTTCAAGCCCCTCTTGTAACTTGTGTGTCCCTGTGTGTGCAAAAGAGACGCTTCTCTTCTCGTCCTTTTTTTTTTTTTACCTTCACCCTGGCGCTCCGCGATTCGTCGCTCTCCATGTCCAACAGTTCATCCACATCTATTTCTAATTCAGGGATTTCTTCTTCCTGCAAGGAAAAATGTTTTACGCCTTATTCCTCTTGCTGGGATCAGTAAATTGGGAGAGATTGCTAACGGAGGGGAGCAAAGGGTGGGAACACATCGCCTTGCCAATCCAAGCCAGATTCCTACCCCTTGTGAAGACTTCAGATGCTCTTTGTACTCAAGTCTGGCACCTTGGGGGAACCTCTCCCCGCCCCCCTGCAATTTAAATCTCTCCCTTGTTGAGAAAGGGGTTCAGGGCCGACCCTCCCCACCTCCCCCCCCCAAAAAAAACAGAGTATTTTGCAGATAGGATCATTCTGTGCATCTTCCTGTTTGTGGCATAAAGGCCCAGCCATTATTTCAGCCCCATTGGGATGTCCTGCAAAGACATCCAAGGGAGGGAAGAAAGGAAAGAGAAAAGGGAGAAAAGAGAGCAGGGGAATGGTAGAAAAGACGAAGGAAGGAAAGGGTGAAAAAAAAAAGAAATTTGGGAAGGAGGCAGAATGGAAACAAGGAAAGGAAGAATGGGAAGGAAAGAGAAAAGAAAAAGGAAAGTTGGAGAGAGAGAGGAGGGAGGGAGGAAGATTGGAGGAAGGGAAGAATAGAAACAAGGAAAGGAA